ATGATCACAAAATAAAAGAAGATGATTGATAATAAATTGAGTCATCTCAGCACAGCCCCCTGAACAGCCTTCAAGAAAACTGACAGGCTATGTAGGATGTCCAGAATTAATGAAACTAATTCTAGTAGACTAACTACATAGTAATTTCTAAAACTGAGGATTGCTCTAAGAGCCTTTCTATATATTAAAAGAGCATGTTCAAGTGTCTGTGCTAATCTTTTATCCTTTATCTTTTTATGCAAGCAATAATCCCAACAGAAGCCTACACTGAAAATCTTATTGCAAATTTGTTTGCTCAGCACCAACTTCCAAATGTGTTTTTGAAATTCTAGTGTATTTGAGAAGTGGTTGGAGTATTCTGTGTACTTTTTAATGCAAAACATTCTAATATTTCCAAAGTCAGAATGAAAGTGTATTTATGAAATACAAGTTACAGCCAACTGCTGTCAATGTCTCAGAATAAAATCCGACCGCATGAAATGGGCTCTGCATTGCATGAAGTGGCTTCCCCTATGACCTCTGTGGTGCATAGTTTTATACTATTAAGTGTAGCTTAGAAATAACAGAAACTGATATTGATGGGATCTGTTTTTGGTTGTGCACACGGCAGCCAGGAATGCTTAAGGAAACCAAAACAACAATAAAAAGTACATTAAAGATCTAGTTGCATGCCACAGATGACACTCATTCCTCCTATCAGGTTTTCAGTACAAATTTGGCAGGTTAGTAACCTTACGTGGCATCTTTAATGGTCTTCTGAGTACGCATGCGATGATGAACAACACTGAACTGAAAAATTGTTTCAGGCTGCTAAACTATGTAAAGTAGTGCTATTGCAATGGCTAAGCTAAAGAAGCCAGTAAATGTCATTCTTGATTCAAAGTTTTAATTATTGTTAGAGAGGTGCTAATAGGCAGATTTATTAACAACTACAATCAAAAGAAGCCTGGAGAGGAAAAAAGAATAACCGAGTAAAATACAATATTTATAAAACCAGAGTGCAGATTTTCATATGCAGCATAAAGTTACACAGAAGGAATTCAAGGAAGGAGCGCAGACTATGATCCTTCTCAAGCCTCAGACACTGGTGTTTAAAAACCATCCACAGAGTAACATATATCTACATTATTTGCATAAATCAGCAGACAGATATCTATGAAAGGATTCAGTGGAATCTCTTGCTCATTCAGTAGGATTACATGAATAAAATATTTTGTTTGGGTGCCAAAATGAAAAGACTATTTTTCCATTTTACCACTGAAATTAAAAAAACGGAGACAAATGAAATTCATCTTTCCACTTGAAAACACTTAACTTGTAACTGCATTTTAAACAGTAAAACAAAACCAGAATGTGTAATTTTGTATAGCTTTTCTTTAGAATTACAGAAACATTTCTAGTTCGATTTTTAAAGGAGCTTTTCAATATTCATGTTGTCTCCAAGGTATAACACTTTCCCTTAGGAGACATATAAACATTGTCAAGTTCAGCACAGCACTACTGATTTACTCTACAGCTGCTATGTTTTGTTCCAGTGATCACTGTGTTTTATGAGATATATATATATCTCATATATATAGATATGAATATGCACTCAGATTTTTGCAGCATCCACACCCCCAAATCTAGTTTACTAAGTGTTTCATGTCTAACACTGAATTACTTCACCAAAAACAGATTTTAAAACTGATACTTTTAATTGCAGTAAAATCCATACTCTATTGCACTGTAGTGTTCAAAAGTTTTGTTTAACTTACTGGAAAAAAAAAAAAGTCCAAACCAAGGATTTGTTTTAGATTCTGCTGGGATTCATGTAAACAGCCTTCCAAAGCTTTGTCTACATTGATTTGTTATTTTATTTTTGAGGGCTGCCACAGTAGACCCCTGCAAATCTGAAGGGACTTCCAGACCACCCAAATCATGTCCCAATATCACACTGCAAACAGTACCTTCAGGACTGCCATGTGTCCCACCATCTCTTGTATCACCTCCCACATCCTACAGGAACTTATTCTCCCCCTAAGATGTTTGCAACAGATATAAGGTGCATGTAAGGTGGCTGCTCGGCTCCTGTCCTCCAGCAGCACTGTCGCAGCCCCTGGCACTGAGAAAGATGTGCTTGTTTGTGACTGCTTATTGCTGGTGTATTGTAGGCACTATGCCTGCTCCACAATGGGTTTCAGCCTCAGCAAGAGAGAGAAATTTGACGTCCACTGCTGAGTCTCTTTCTAACTCAGTAAGGCCAAGAAATTACTTGGGCTTTCTGTTACAGAAGAGAAAATATGAGAGATGGAAGCAAATAAAGACAATGTGGACTTGAAGATGATTTGACAGTTCATGATCATACCTTTTCCCACTGATGTCCAAAAGCTGAAGGCGTTATGGCACAGAGAGTCCAGCGGAGGGCTACAAAGATGATTAGGGGACTGGAGCATCTCTCCTATGAGAAGAGGCTGAGAGAGCTGGGCCTGTTCAGCCTGGAGGAGAGAAGACTGAGGGGGGGATCTGATCAATGTGTACAAGTATCTGAAGGGAGGGTGTCAAGAGGATGGGGCAAGACTCTTCTCAGTGGTGCCCAGTGACAGGACAAGAGGCAATGGGCACAAACTGAAACACAAGCAAGTCCATCTGAATATGAGGAACAACTTATTTCCTGGGAGGGTGACTGAGCACCTGCACAGGTTGCGCAGACAGGTTGTGGAGTCTCCTTCCCTGGAGGTATTCAAAAGCTGCCTGGACGTGATCCTGGGCAATGTGCTCTAGAGGACCCTGCCTGAGCAGGGGGGTTGGACTAGATGATCTCCAGAGGTCCCTTCCAACCCTGGCCATTCTGCGGTTCTGTGTGATTCTGTGATTATTCTTCTTGGAGACACTTTCTGTTATGTGGTGGATAACATGGATTTGATTGTCCTCCACAGTGTGTTTCATATCCAAGTTTGCCAGGGAGATAAGTCAACTGGCCGGCTGCGCTGATAAGTAGGCTGACCTGCCTGCCTTGGGCTTCACTCACTACCAACTGTTTCCAACTGTAGGAAAACATGGATTCAGTGTATGGAGCTAGAGAACTCAGTGTAAAGTCAGGATGGCCTATGCTTTTGGGGCCCAAGGGATATCACTGGCACCTAAATCAGCTTCTTGCAAATCTTTGAGAGATATTACAATAAAGTGGAAAAGCTGCATAGATTGGTGGCTGCAATGGCAGCATTTAAATGAGCTTTCATAGCCACAAGGGAGACTTGTAGTCACAAAATGGATATTGAAGTTCTACCTATACGGATGAATCTGGGGACATCTGTGCACAAGATTTGTACTGACATTCACGCTCTGGCCAATCTGAAGGAAACAAATGAGCCTACTGAAAGAAACCAGGTTGGTTCAAGTGTCACGCCTTACAGACATAACCCGTTGAGTTCAGAATACTGCTACAGCCTGGCTTAGCGTCTGATATCTCTGGTTCTGAGTCCCTTCCAAACATCCTCTGTGCAGTGGTTTGAACATACACTGGATGACAGTGCCAGCAGGTGTCGATGTATGGCTGAGGCTTTTCTCATAGATGACATAATTCTAAATATACTGTATAATATCTCCAAGGGACTTTTGGTATACCCAAAGGTGATTGGGAGGTGGATCTGGCAGGAGCTACCACTCATGACCACAGAGAATACAATCATGGCCATGGTGAAAGTATAGAGCAATCATCAGGACTGCCATTGCAAGATTTCTGTCCTTCCCCAGCAGTCAACTGCTGTTATGAAACTTCATTGTCCATGTCTGTGCTGATACCACCCACAGATACTGCAAAACCCTTCTGAATTCCTCTTTCTTCACCACATATATTCCTCTGCAGCTGACAAGCTCCTTTGCAAGGAGATTTTGCCCAGTGCTGACTGAACACCAAAGCAAGATGGATGGATAAACTGAACTGCACTTTGGCTTATCCTACAAAGGTATATGGGTATGGGAAGATAAGAAAAGCTTTATTGGGGGAAAAAAACAATGCACACCCCCCACAGCCGATATACCTGGTGTTCCCATCATGCTGTATCTACGTCAAGGGTGCTGCTTCACTAACTCTCATACTGTCTGCCAGCACTTCATAGCAAAAGAGAGATATGAAAGACAATGGAAACCAAGAGCAGGGGCTACACCACTGGACGTGGATGCTAGACTGCCTTTAAAACTAGTCCCTGATAGCCCTCTGCGCCTGTATCTGGAAGCTTGAAGAGACTCGGTTCACCAGAATGCGTGCATACAGGAAGACATCGGCCTGATCCCCAAGGACTTTGAGGCTAGAGCACAAAACTGTGCTTCCTCATATTTGATGGAGAGATAGCCAATTGTCAAGAAAGCACCTACTGGGTTGGAATTAACTAACTCAGAAATCACCAAGGAACACACCATAGGCTGGTAGAAGGATTGGGGAAGACCTAGCTTGGGGTTGAATGTGTCTGTAGGTGACTTTTTGCTTTGAATATTCTGAAACTGGAAGCCTTACAGGAAGCCAGGTATATGCTGCTGGGGCCCTAAAACAAAAACTGAAGAGGAGCCCTATCCAGCTGGGGCACTCTACAGAATCCCTCTAATCAATCCGTACAAAGGCAGTACACAGAGGTAATGCAACAATGAGAACTTGTATCAAAAGCTGTATAAATATGCATGTAAATATAATCCTTAATCCAAAGATTTCACAATTTGATAGAAAATTTTTGGATCCTTTTATCCTACAACAAAATTCAAAAAATTTGAGGTCAATAACATAACTCCTCCTTTGGGATAGGATACATTTCACGTATCCTATCAAGTAAAGAATGGTCTTGTTTTTCAGATTATGGTGTTCTTAATAATCAAAACTGGTACATAAAATTACTACTACAATCTTACTGGAAATCTTAGTAATACATTGACTCATTTCTTTAGAAACTAGAATCTCTTTTCACATCCTCTGAATGCTGTGATTTTATATTAACTACAGATATAAAATGAAGTTGAAATGTACTCACTTATTTTATTTCTCACTTCATTTACTTTTTCTCCAAGGGATTTAGCTTCAGCAAACCTGGTAATGGAAGCATAACAACATAGAATTATTCAGAAGCACAACTAGTTAAATTATTTATTCACAATAAAATACTGAAAGATTCAGGTTATTTTTTGCTTGCAAATTACTTTCAAGCTGATTTAGGTAATTATAAAAAATTTGTTATTTGTAAGTAGAATTGGTTGAAAACAATTTTCCACCAGAAAAGATAGTCTGGTCTAAAATAAGCCATTTTGAACTCAACAAATAGGTTAACTGGAAAGATAAAACAATCGTATTTAACTTTCTAAATTCTTCTGATAATGCCAATTCAATTCTAATGACTGGATTTCCTAAATACTCATATTAGACTACAATATTAATTTTAATATGCTAAATTATATGCAATGTTTTAACTTAATACTTTAACTTACTACTTTAAAAGTTGAAAGAAGAAATCCAAGAAAAGTAACAACAAAATGTTTGACAGTATCAGAATTTCTGTTTACTAGGAAATCTCAAATTTCAGCCTATGAGTAATTTGCATATTGCTCACAAGAATCACTTTGTGCTATGTGAAAATGTATATCCCAAACACATTTTACAGCTTACTGAGAAACTCCTCAAACAGAAAAATAAAAAACTATGACAAAACTAAATTACTCTGCTGTTCTACAGAGTCTTTGTATGAATGCAGATATTCAAATGATACTCAGCTACTCCTCATGCAGTGATGTAAGCCAAAGCCATTCACATGAAGATTTAAAAATAGCAAGTAAAAAGCAGCCTGAGCAGGGTGGAAACAAATTAATGAATTAGGCTTTGGAAAAGCCCTCTTTTTGTAGTATTGAAATAGCTGGATCTCAAATCAAAACTGGAAATGATGTTTTAAAAGTGTGAAATTTCATTGTGGAGGAATAGTAAATAAACGATTAATACTGACTAAGTTAAGTGTGTTTTCTTTCAACAATATTATTGTATTTCGTAATATGCAACAATCCTTTTACTTAATATGCCACATTTGTATCATTCTGGCACAGAACGAGGCCTGACCATCTTGGGATAGTGTTTTGACAGCAAAAATGAGCTTGGTCAATTTTTGGAGGAGATACCAAGGGAAATCCAGCAAGCCACAGGAAGAGTTGCTGGTGATTCAGTAGTTGATTCTTCTCTCAGAATATCTGCTGAACTAATTTACTCACATATTTCTTGAGTGTGTTGAAAAAGAAAACCAATTCTCTGACCACTTGTGGTAGTTAAAGATCGCTTGGCCCTTTCTACAAAAGTAGTGGTGTTGACCCCAGCGGCCTGTATGAGTCTAGCACTGGTAACTACATCTCTCCTGCAAATATTCATTTTTTATCCTTCCGTCCAGATCTGCTGCTGAAAAGTGCTTTTATACACTTTTTCACTATAAATTTTTTCTATCTCAAAGTTGACTGAATTTAAGTAGCAAATTATTCATAGTAAGAAAAATGCTCATTTGAGATTTTCTTTGATAAGAGGTAATATGATAGGCACTTTAACAGCTTAATATCTCCAAAGCGTTGTATAAAATTAAACAAATATTCCTCACAGCATACTTGAGAGCAAAGTATCTCAAACCTGAGACATGGTGAGATTAAGCGACTTGAATAGTATCAAAAACTGTACTAACTCTGAGCACAGTCATCTATCCCAAATTGTTAAGACTGGAATAATGAAAATTATGTACATACATGCAAAGTATCTTGCCAGTCTGCATCCCAGATGATGCTACAAGCACTTTGGGAGTGAAGACTGTGTTTCTATATTATTGTTGAACAGAACTGAGTATAATTATATCCCAGTCCATGACTAGGATGCTTTCAGATGACAGTAATGAAAATAATAAGTAGTAATTTCATAGTCAAAAATGTCATTTTATAAAGAGTGATTACAATGCTTACCAATTCCCACCAGGTATGTTTCTAAATTAATTCACTGACCACTCCTCATTATATTCAAATCATCAACTCTTCACATGGTATGCAGAATATTCTAATGATCAGAAGTTACTTTTTTAGGTTGCAGCATGATGTTGCAGTGACACTCACTTCAGTGTTATTTGTTAGCATTCTGCTCCCTCTGTATCTTGTTCCTTCGTAAATGTGTAATATCTACGTACTTCCTCAAAAAACAGATACCTACAGAGTCTTAAAATGCAGTATATTCTTTACATTGCCTATAGCATGCCAGAACTTGATCCCTTCTCCTTTCATGTGTTTTCCGTCAGTTTTCGGATCTTTCACAACAGTTGCTGGCATAGTTACTGTTACTGTCCTACACCTATTTAACTCAGTACTATATAAAGCTGTCTAGAACAAATGGAATACATAACAGACTTCTAAATACTAAATGTATTCTGCTGTAATAATAGTGACAACGTACAATGGCAAAGTCTGAAAAATCTCTGAGAGAACTGAAGTCTCTTTAAGGAAATTTCCATTGTAATAGTCTAAAATGTAAATAAATAGTAGAAGGATGATTTGCTGCATCATGACTTGCGGTAGGACATTTGACTTGATATGAGAGTTTCAATTGTTACTCAGATGCGTACGAGTTGAACCTTGCGGAGTTTGAAGGCAGAACTTAATTCTTAAGTAAGCCTTCTAATTGATTCGGATGAGTCTTGGTCTAGCCAAAGTAGCTAGGAAATCCACAAATTGTGTTTCTGTCTAACTCAAATTACGGCAAAATAGAGTTAAGAAATGTGGCTTTCCTCTGGGCAGGTGGGGTTTGGAAAACTGCCTCCTCTCAGTTAGTCTATTTCCCTTTAAAACTAGAAGGAGTTGGAATTTCAGGCCAATGTGCATTCACATATGCTTATGTACACTTGCTTTCATGGTTGAATTCAACACGTGTAAATGGCCCCAGCTGGAAGGTTCCTCAACACTTACTGCTTACTACACAAGGAAGCACAAGCCTTTGAAGAGTCTGTGAGACTTTTCTGAATAAGCTCTCTCCACTGGTGTTAATGTACAGCACCCAAGCAGTCTCTTGAAGTTTGTTTATCAAACTAAGGGAAATGCCCCAAAATATCTCCCTCTTTCTTTCCCCTAGGTCCCCTGGTCAAATACTAAGCTCTTCAGTTACTTAGTAATTACTCAGGCAAAACTCCTTCTGACTATTGACTCCGTTTCATGTTTACAAGATAGATTTAGCCGGACAAGTTGAAGCCAGCTGCCTATCCAGCCCTTATTCATAGGTTGCTGCCTTCAAAACAGGAATAGTTGGATGGGCCATGCATCTGCTTCTCAAGCACCACAGTTTACAAACTGGCATGATAACATAAACTAAAATTTGCTAGTAATTTATGACAGCTCAACAAATTCCATCTGTGACTATGAATCACAGTCAAACAAAATAAATAAGACAAAGACATACAACTTAACCCTATTATTGAAAGAAAAAAGGTTATTTCTGATACTCCTCTAACAAAAAATCTAGCATAAAGGTGATGTTGTTGTGAATAGTGACGAGACAACAATTATAACGTTAGCTGTCACGCGTCATGTGTCTCCTACATGAATAGAGACCTCTCAATAAGAAGGCTATACATGAAGTATAATGAAAAAATATTAACATGAGAGGCCTAAATATAAAGGGAATTTACGGTAACCTTTAAACATCTGGTGTCTACACACTTCTTACTGTGCAATTTGAACACTGGCTGGGTAACCAAATTTTTGTGCAACTGGCAGTTCAAAGGCTGCATTTCAAATTACAGAGTGGACTTGATATAAATCCGTTTTCATGAACACAGTAAACCTGGAGCTAGAGACATCTTTGGTAAAATCCACTGCAAGTGGCAGGGGAAAAGTTTCTAGCTCCAGGGTATCATCATTCACATAGCACTCATTTCAGCAATCAGCTGCTGCATACTAGAGAAGGGTTACCCAAGACGTGGATTTGAATCTCTCCATCCTTTAGGGAAAGCAAATCTTGTTTTAAACTTTGTGGCTCCTGCCCAACTCCACTACATATTCTGAAACCAGAAGGGGGAGTTAGTTCCAGCTATATTCATGTTTTTAATATTTTGCCATTCTCACCATCTTCACTAGAAGATTCTGAAGTGCTTTGCCAGCATTCACAATAAATGTGTAGCAGCAAAACATTACTTCTCTTTTAGAGTGCAAAACTGGAGGAAAAAAGCTTCGCTTGACAAACAAATTTGTAGCAATAGACAAAAGCATATGTTAACCACCTCCTAGTTTACTGTCCAGTTCAGTGTTGAAGCTGATAGTGTTTTCTACAGTAGAAATTACAGTAATCAATTTAACCACATGAATCTAACTTCCTCTACATAATTCATGATCAAAAATGCCATTTACCACATTGATTCAACAGAGCTAAAATAAGAACAGTAAACACAGAGGAAAGACGCATTAACATCACTCATGCCACTTTCATATTCTATTCAGACTTTTATTCTGTTATCACTCAGTGCCTTCTGAGTAGGAAATATCCCCATCAAGAAAAGGCCGAGCTTCTGTACCAAGTTTTACTAGAAGCCTGGGATGTCTGTTGTAAAGTTGCACATTTGTACGCATACTCATAATGAATTCTCAGACGCCTGTCGACAACTGCATCTTGCTGTGACACTCACCTCTGCTTCAGAAGCTGTTTGTTGTCCTCAATGGTTATACTGTCAGCATGGTCCCGCTTGAAAACTTCAAAAGCCTCCTGACATCCAAGTGACATCTTTCCTCCTATCCCAAGGAAAAGAGAGACTACTTCAGTGTCATCGAGAGAGAGACATTTTACATTTATTTTATTCCTATTTAGAGACAAAATATAGCAAATCAGCCCAGGGGTCTTGAAGCACACAGCAGACTATGCTCTATGCTCCACCAACAAAAGAGCACTTTGGAGGACATATCACTTACCTAAAGCCTGAATGTTTGGATTGTGTAATTTCTCAAGACAACTTAAATTTTTCATAAATAAAATCAAAATGTGAAAATCTAAAATATGTGAAATATTCTTAAGGGAAGGTTGGAGGAATTTTCACAATAGCAAAGCGCACTTTGCTTCTATACTTCTTTCATCCATGTTTCATATTTGCTACAAAATATACTTTCAATATTTTCAGCTTGCTTGGAAGAACACATTTTGGGCTTCATTTACTTATGCATAAATGTAATCCCTCCTAGTGAACACTCTTGTGAATCAGGAATTGGACCTACAAAAATGACTTGTTCCTGCCTTTTATGCTTTCAATATTGTTTCCTTTTGTGCACCATAAGGAAGGTCAAGCCTGCAAATCTTTTCCAAAATCACTAGAGAAAAGCATTACTTATTAGTTCTCATTGCTAGAAAATCTAAAGGTCCACATAAGAAATCATTCAGCAGTATTATTATGAACAAAAAACCAAAGGCTTGAGGAGAATGAAAGATGATACAAGTATCTTTGTTTTATCATGTGTGCATATGTGTCAAAAAATAAGCATTTCAAAAGCGGGAGAATCACATATAAATAAATGACAGCAGTGAAGACAGTTCAGGAGCAGAGAGGAGAAGGAATCTAGCACCCAAACTGTGTGAAAGACACAAAATAGCTCCACTACTAATTCAGCTTCACAGCTGCAACTGAAACCTCAGAACGATGCTCCTCGAACCGGGATATGATTCTCCTTGATCTTCTTACTTTTACAGTCTTCTGTCCTACTCACAAGCCTTCCTTCCTGCTTCAGAGCTATCAAGACCCTCTAATCCATTGCGCAGAAGAGATACAAAGTTTCCTGGGAGTTTTGCTGCACAACAGTTTTCTATATGTTCTGTGCTAATGGATCAGTGTTACCACTAAACATATAATGCATGGAATTTATTTTCCTCACTACCTGCTTTACAATTTTGGTGTAAACGAGGATGACAAATAAATATTAACAAAACATATCTAAATAGACTTTGGGCTACACAATACTGGCATGCTGCACCTTACTGGAGTCTAGCTCAGTTTGTATGAAGAAAGATGTGCTGTACAGTCACTTTGGAATATGTTCTGCTGCCCCTCATCATACTTACCATTTCAAGATTAATCCCCTCTGGCTTTAGAGAGATCTCTGTAGTAAAAGATACTACTTACAGTGAAAGCTGGTAAGAAAAGCTAGCACCCGTCGTTCAATAATCAGCAAAAGATTTAAAAACTTTTTATTCAAATTACACTCTGTTTCAGTCAACAGAATCAGCACATCTGTTACTAATTTAAAAATTTTGAGTTTAAAATAGAAACACCAGGAATGTTTGAATGGCAAAGCAAACAGAAATGCTCCACCCTTTTTGTATTAAAAAAAAAAAAACAGAGCAAGACATAGTGCAGTCTTTACTGCTGTGTGATCAAAAAAAGAAAGAGGTTGTGGGAAAAGATATTTTCTGTGACAATGACCTGAAAACTTAACGTCCAGGTTTCATGCCTTGAAAAATAAGGTCAGCCTTACAGGTAGAATTTTAAAACACATTCATCCCATCAGTAGTACTAAATTTAATCTATAGTCTGAAGTGACCTTCTTAAAATTGCTTTTTTTGCAGAACAACTTTGTATTATGAGCAGAAAGCCTTAATGAAATTCATGGCTGAGCCTCACATAAACAGTAAAACACTCTTACTCATATGCAATGCTGCAATGTAAAGAAATTAACTCTTCTGCCAGTGGCTCTGCCTTTGCTCCAAAATGTGCATCTATTTCCTCACTCTTAAAAGTATTACTGTAAAGAATGGTCATGGTCAATTTAACAAGAGCTGATTAGCAGCAACAAAACCATGCCATACAATACCACTGAAACAAATCAGTATGTTAATAAATATAGAAGTGGAGGCTTTTGAATCTTGTGTTTTGTACTCAAGTTAATAATCAACATCTCAAAGAGAAGAAGTTTCAAAAACGAAACTATCATAGTGATTATTGTTTCTGCCAGGTTTGCATAAGCCAATATTAAGGGCACTCTGTTAATTATTTTCCACTGTTACATTAAAAAGCAGCAGAACTGTATAGCTAAATAAACCACATAAAAATAGGTCCTGAGAACTCTTGGGAAGGTTAAATTTTGTGGTTTATATAGGCCATTTTAAGAAAATACAGAAATATATGGATTAATAAACAACCACATTCTGAAAATGGTATCTGAGGAAAGGAGCTTAAAAATAATATGAACACAGAGTAGCTACAGAAAAATGCTGCAGCCTGTGGTGAATGATGGAGACATTTAGGATGACAATAAGGAGTGCACTGTTAACACTAGTAAAACATTGCTAAAAAACACTGGAAGCTTGATGGACTGGTTGAGTTTTCATTCTGCTCAATAATGAAAATTATTCCCCTTCAATAGTTAGTGTTGTAGCTGCATTCATGCTGTTTGTGTTTCCTGAAATGATGTATAATTTCATAAGGTAGCCTCATTTTCTGCTTTCAAATGGCCTCCATGTGCAAAGGCGCCCTAACATTACTGCTGTCCGTGCTGGCTCTAATTTGAATGAATAAGCTACACGTTCTTTCAAGACAAGGTGTTACCGACTCCTCTATTTTTCTCTAGCTGTAAATTGAAAGACATTTATACTGTTGTATACAATAAAAATTGAATAAAACCAGAACTGAGAGTAGAAAGAAACCATTCATGATAACACATTTTTGACAATGTAACCAAATAATTCAGCTAAATCTTAGTGCTGTTGAAAACAATTTCTTTTGCTGTAATATGACAAACAATTTTTCTTCTTTAATACAGCGGCATAGTGTTACAAAATACATGTTTGAAGATTCTTATCTAAGCAACAACCACCATATCCTACAGGCTGTGAATCAGCAACATATTGCTAAGTCATTACAATATGAACTGAAATAATCATTACTGTAAAAATAATTCAGATGATCAGAAAAGGGCTAAAATTTTCCTGTAACTATACTGTTGACACTCCATTTGACAGGGTTGCATTAAAAAGTGATCTATTTTGTATCAAGGTAATTTTAATTATACCTCTGTTATTAGGTTGTGGGAGGTGGCTTTGATGTTAAAACACTTAGAAATGTGCTCAATTCACAATGCGAAACTTACAGCAAACTTATGTGTAGAAGCAGCAAATTCAAAGAGCTCATATTTTGGGAAAATTCAGATTTGATCCATAGTCTGAATTTAAACGGTTGAGAATGTTCTCACTGAAGGTTTGATTCTGCTTGCTATTATGAAAAATATGTCTTTCTTCAAAGCTGGAATTGAAATTTGAAAGGTTAGTTTCAGTTCATACTCCTAGCTAGTGCACTGCCACCACTTTCATATTAAAAAAAAAGGTTCAGTCGAGGGGGTTCCTTCCCCAAAACACGCAAATCACAACTGTCCTGCT